GGGAATTTATTTTAAGAAATTAAATGGTCTGCGAAAATATCAATATTTTCTTTTTGAAGCATCTAATCTTGGTGTTGTCAAAACTCAAGAGATTCTTAATGGACCTTTTGCTGAATTCAATTTATTAAAAACCAAGAAGGAGATATTTTTGAAGAGATTAAAAATTGATTGATTGATTGATTAACTAACTAAAAATGCTAAAAAACCATTTTTTACTATTATTATCATTGATAGTGATATTAGCCAATAGAAAAACCTTAACCGGAGGGGGGGTTACAGTTGCTGGTGTAAATTTAAATGATGAAGGTTGTGACATCACAAATTACAAGCATGTTTCCTATTTTTATCTAAAAGTACCTTGTGCAGATGCAGTGTTTATTTGAAATGTTAATTTCTTTAACTGTATATCATTAGGTAATTATTTGTATATGCAAGCGATAAATTGTGTTGGTAATGATATATATATTATGTGGAAATGGTCGAAACCATTTTTCCTCGCTCATTTGAAGACATGATTTTCATTATCAAGAACATTACATCCAGTATTTGTCTTTAAACAGATCATTCTTGACACCAGAAATTTTGCCTTAAAAAATGAAAAAAGATGAAGTTCGTCTAAATGAGCAGTCATGTGAATCTGGCTTTGAATCACTGGTTAAAATAACAGACAGTACATGGCATGTATGGCTTGGAAATATATAAATCTTTAACAACTTTAAATTTTCCAACGATGAAAGTAATTGAATTCAAAAATTATTTTAATTTCTATCTACAGTATATGGAATTTTTGATCTTTGTAATGCATTGTAAGAAAAAAATCTCAATAAAATATTATTGTTGTTGTTGAGTTATATATGCACAACATAAAAGTTTAATTGTCATTATTTATGTAAAGAAGAAAAAGATCCCGAGTCAGGAAATAAATGAGAGTAAAAATAGTCATCTATTTTGGTTGATGATTATTATTATTCACAGAAATTTGTTTCAAAAAAAGAATAATTATTAATCATGAAAGATTTCATTTCATATTATTCCCCTTCAAGGGATTTCTGTTTTTGGATAATATATCTTCATTTTCTTAATTCTATATATCACTTAATATTAAGAAAAAAACATAGATAACAAATTAAAACGGGTGATTTAATAATCACATTACTAAATTTTGATCCCTGAAATTCTTGGTAATACCAATGTTCACTTTGGTTTTGTTGCAGCATGCCCTGTATGCATTCAAGGTTACAGCAGTTTATTAATCACAAAATCAAGGTTTCAGCATGATGGCCACAAAGCTGCCTACAGCTGTCATCAATGCAATCAAGAAAAAAATATAAAAGTTAGAAAAGTTGCATTCAAAGCTATTACTTCTGCTAAAAACAAGGATAACTGATTCAACTCAATTCCATTCAATTGTTGTCGTCCAAAAAGAAAAGATATAGGTTTTTAATGAATTATAAATAATTCATTGGTAATAATAATGATGGTGATGACAATGATGATTAATAGAATAAATATTGTCATATCTAAACAAATAAACGTTTTATTTCTCTTCCCCTTCTTTATTTGAAGATATTTTTTGTCAATATTGAAGGTCTACTTGATACAAAATTCCATCATTTTCATCTTCTGTCCTATCTGATGATTATATCTCATTTCTTTAAGGGTTTCTATAACTTAATAATCGCAATAATACTAGAAAATATATATATATATTTATATATTAAATTAACTACAATTACAAAATTTTCTTCCAACTTCACTACAAAGTAATGATGTATGACGAAACTTTTGACTTTAGTCATTAACGCAACTAAAGTATTGGCTAAAAGGTAGTTTCTCATCAGGGCCATTTTGGCGATCTGACTAAAGTAAAAAGCCCTTGGTGTAAGTAAAACCAGTAAAAATGCTTGATACAATCAGCAATAATGATAATGATATTCCAAATTATGTAAAATGTGTGTCCCGGGGATGAATAAAGAACAATTATATCATTTCAAGAAGAATAATTATCACGGGAAGTTTACAATGTTATAATTTGAATTAGAAATTTTACTTAATTAAACTACTTATTTTTTTTCCTGTGCATTGTTTTCTGTTTATCAATTTTAAGTAAAAAATGCTGAAAATTCTTTTATATGATAAATCGATCACTAGAGTTTGGTGATGATGAAGTTCTTTAAATAAAACATCAAAAAATGTTGCACGAATCTAAATTATTATCATAATTATTAACAGTAAGAAGGGAATTTGTACGTAAAATTGACAATGAAATGTTTAATTATGCAACAGTTAATTCTGATAAAGTAGAAAAGATTTTTTTTTTATTAGTCAACAAAAACAAGGAGCTTTCTGAAAATGAAAAAGAATATTATAAGGAACATTTTATTTATCAGGTTGAATTATCCATTCTTTCCTTTTAGGAATTTTGTATCTTTAAAATTATAATTAAACAAATCTAATTAAAATATGCCCATGTTAAAATATTTTTTTTCGAATAAAATAAAATAATAAAATAAATTGGACTTTTTTTACTGATTATTTGATAAAGCAGCTTCAAAAGTATAAGGACCTTGCCTTTAAAATTGTGGAATATGCTTTGAATGTTTTAACATCCTGATCTTCTCCGACTTTAATTTCTACATCCTAATAATTTGTTTTATTTAACAACTTTGTTAAATCATTTACAAGTTTACTAATATATTTTAATGGTCTTGCTAGACATTTTGAAGGAAATTTTTAAAACGTTTATTATATACTTGTAGGTGAAAATATAAAAATATATTAATTTTTCCTTATTAATTTATACACTTCTCATTTTTCTAACAAATGAA